AGAACTAGAACAGAACTAGAACAGAACTAGAACAGAACTAGAACAGAACTAGAATTGAACTAGAACAAACTAGAACAGAACTAGAACAGAACTAAACGAACTAGAACAGAACTAGAACAAACTAGAACTGAACTAGAACAGAACTAGAACAGAACTAGAACAGAACTAGAACAGAACTAGAACAGAACTAGAACAGAACTAGAACAGAACTAGAACAGAACTAGAACAGAACTAGAACAGAACTAGAACAGAACTAGAACAGAACTAGAACAGAACTAGAAAGAACTAGAACAGAACTAGAACAGAACTAGAACAGAACTAGAACAGAACTAGAACAGAACTAGAACAGAACTAGAACAGAACTAGAACAAACTAGAACTGAACTAGAACAGAACTAGAACAGAACTAGAACAGAACTAGAACAGAACTAGACAGAACTAGAACAAAACTAGAACTGAACTAGAACCAGAACTAGAACAGAACTAGAACAGAACTAGAACAGAACTAGAACAGAACTAGAACAGAACTAGAACAGAACTAGAACAGAACTAGAACAGAACTAGAACAAGAACTAGAACAAACTAGAACCGAACTAGAACAGAACTAGAACGAGAACTAGAACAGAACTAGACAGAACTAGAACAGAACTAGAACAGAACTAGAACAGAACTAGAACAGAACTAGACACAGAACTAGAACAGAACTAGAACAGAACTAGAACAGAACTAGAACAGAACCTAGAAAAGAACTAGAACAGAACTAGAACAGAACTAGAACAGAGCTAGAACAGAACTAGAACAGAACTAGACCATAACTAGAACAGAACTAGAAACAGAAACTAGAACAGAACAGAACTAGAAACAGAACTAGACAGAACTAGAACAGAACTAGAACAGAACTAGAACTAGAACAGAACTAGAACAGAACTATAACAGAACTAGAACAGAACTAGAACAGAACTAGAACAGAACTAGAACAGAACTAGAACAGAACTAGAAAAAACTAGAACAGAACTAGAACAGAACTAGAACAGAACTAGAACAGAACTAGAACAGAACTAGACCATAACTAGAAAGAACTAGAACAGAACTAGAACAAACTAGAACAGAACTAACTAGAACTAGAACAGAACTAGAACAGAACTAGAACAGAACTAGAACAGAACTAGAACAGAACTAGAACTAGAACAGAACTAGAACAGAACTATAACAGAACTAGAACAGAACTAGAACAGAACTAGAACAGAACTAGAACAGAACTAGAACAGAACTAGAACAGAACTAGAACAGAACTAGAATTGAACTAGAACAAAACTAGAACAGAACAGAACTAGAACAGAACTAGAACAGAACTAGAACAGAACTAGAACAGAACTAGAACAGAACTAGAACAGAACTAGAACAGAACTAGAACAGAACTAGAACAGAACTAGAACAGAACTAGAACAGAACTAGAACAGAACTAGAACAGAACTAGAACAGAACTAGAACAGAACTAGAACAGAACTAGAACAGAACTAGAACAGAACTAGAACAGAACTAGAACAGAACTAGAACAGAACTAGAACAGAACAGAACAGAACTAGAACAGAACAGAACTAGAACAGAACTAGAACAGAACTAGAACAGAACTAGAACAGAACTAGAACAGAACTAGAACAGAACTAGAACAGAACTAGAACAGAACTAGAACAGAACTAGAACAGAACTAGAACAGAACTAGAACAGAACTAGAACAGGACTAGAACAGAACTAAAACTGAAATTGACTACAACTAGAACTGATGTAGAACTCAACTAGGTCTAAACTAGAACTGATCTCGACTAAGAATTCCACATTTTCTTTTATCTTAAGCTTAACTAAAAGAAATTTAAAAATTTTACCTTGTTTTCCATTTCCTGCTGTAAATGATATCCTGATAGAGAGTTAGTTGAAAATGTATGGATTTTGAAAATGTAGATTGTCTTGGTGTTATTTAGTTTCTATGGAATTGTAGGTTAGTAATCTTATGTTATTTTGTAATGATTTTATCCCGATTTAGAATTCTTGTTAGTAGATAATGATCCAAATTAATGTTATAGTAATGAGTTTTTGGCGATATTTTAATGAATATTATCTAAAGGCAAATAAAATAAAGTTAAATAAATGCAAGTGAAAATAATTTAAAAAAAATGTTAAATTTTGCAAAAAAGAAAATGTTTATAAAATTAAAAGAAATTGAGTTTGGAGTTTAAATTTAGAAAACTTTCAGTATTTTTTAGTTTTTAAAAATGTCGTAAATTTTTTCACGAAATTTCTTTTTTATTAACATTGTTCTTTCAAGTTTAAAAACTTTTTTTTTAAGTTTTGCTTACCTTCGATTTTACAAGTTTTATATTTGTAGATTAACTATAACAACTTTAAATTATCAATTTACAATAAATAAATCCACTGCAGTCAGCGTTTATAGACGTATATGTTTAGGAATTTAAAAATAATGTTTTTAGATTAAAGTCTTTTCTTTAACAAAATATTCCGAACGATTAAGATGAACAAATAAAACAGAAGCAGCCAAACGTGCCTGCAGTTCCTGCTGGGCCAAATCATGAGCCCATTCTACACGACCCCAAAATTTTAATTGATATTCCTCCTCCAAACGGGCCAAAGTGACGGCCTTATCCACCGATATGCGCTGATCAATGGCAGCAAAAGCCAATATAATGGATTTTAAAGTATCAACAGCAAAAACAAAACCTTTAAAAGGGCATTAGGTTGAAGAGATTATATTCCTTTATTTTGTTTTAGACTTACCATACAAAACATCATCGGAGTGTGAGAGTAAATATTTGGAAATTTTCATTTTATCTTCACTTGATATCTCGGGAGGTGTTATATCCATGGTCTTTTGTAAATTAGTACCATAACGTTCATTAAACCACTGTATCAAAGGATCCCATTCATTGCGCTGTAAATCATGCAAATCCTTTTCATCATCATATTGATATAAGACCGTGTCAGTGGGTATGTAATTTAACAAATAATTAACCATATCGATTTTTGAATGATTATTGGGATTATCGATGGCGGTAAAGCACAAGGCGGACAAATGCATTTTAGAGCGTTCTATGTGTTCTTTTTGATTTTCAAATTCAGTGGCAACGGCTATGGCTAAGGGTTCACTTTTCAGGGTAAACGGTGCTCCCTTGGGAGTTTTCAATTTACGATGATCTAAGGTCACTTCATATTTACCATCATTGAAGAGCACGGAGGTTTTCTTATAGAAACGTTTGGGTGGTGAGGCTGTAAAATTGTACAAGGAATAGTTAAATAACACTTTTTTAGGAGGCTCAGCCGGCAGCAGGTTTTCTTACCATAAAAACGTTTGATTAGACTTTGTTGTTTTGGTATTACTTGACGCCAGGTGGAGGGTATTAATTTACAAAGATTATTCATATTAAATTTTTGTATTTTCTGTTATAATTTTGTAATTTTTGTTAAAAATTTCAAAATTCCTACCAGCCCGAAAAAGAAAACACAAAAATAAAGCGAATAAATAAATTCGCCTCGCGCAAGAACGTGAAAAGAAAAAAACAGCTGTGTGAGTTTGGTGCAGGGTTGCATTTGTTAAAAAATAGTGTTGCCAGATGCAGTTGTAGGAGGAATTCAGGTAGTATAATTAAATTAATTAGTTTTAAAAAATAAGATAATGAAATGAACTAACTAACTAACTACTAACTAACTAACTAACTACTAACTAACTAACTAACTAACTAACTAACTAACTAACTAACTAACTAACTAACTAACTAACTAACTAACTAACTAACTAACTACTAACTAACTAACTAACTATAACTAACTAACTAACTAACTACTACTAACTAACTACTAACTAACTAACTAACTACTAACTACTAACTAACTAACTAACTAACTAACTAACTAACTAACTAACTAACTAACTAACTACTAACTAACTAACTACTAACTAACTAACTAACTAACTAACTAACTAACTAACTAACTAACTAACTAACTAACTAACTAACTACTAACTAACTAACTAACTAACTAACTACTAACTAACTAACTAACTAACTAACTAACTAACTAACTAACTAACTAACTAACTAACTACTAACTAACTAACTAACTAACTAACTAACTAACTAACTAACTAACTAACTAACTAACTAACTAACTAACTAACTACTAACTAACTACTAACTAACTAACTAACTAACTACTAACTAACTAACTAACTAACTAACTAACTAACTAACTAACTAACTAACTAACTAACTAACTAACTAACTAACTAACTAACTAACTAACTAACTAACTAACTAACTAACTAACTAACTAACTACTAACTAACTACTAACTAACTAACTAACTAACTAACTAACTAACTAACTAACTAACTAACTAACTAACTAACTACTACTAACTAACCTAACTAACTACTAACTAACTAACTAACTACTAACTAACTAACTAACTAACTAACTAACTAACTAACTAACTAACTACTAACTAACTAACTAACTAACTACTAACTAACTACTAACTAACTAACTAACTAACTAACTAACTAACTAACTAACTAACTAACTAACTAACTAACTAACTAACTAACTAACTACTAACTAACTAACTAACTAACTAACTAACTAACTAACTAACTAACTAACTAACTAACTAACTAACTAACTAACTAACTAACTAACTAACTAACTAACTAACTAACTACTAACTAACTAACTAACTAACTAACTAACTAACTAACTAACTACTAACTAACTAACTAACTAACTAACTAACTAACTAACTAACTAACTAACTAACTAATTAACTAACTAACTAACTAACTAACTAACCAACCAACTAAAAAAAATTATTTCTCTTCACATATGGCAACTTGCTGTTAAACACTTTTCATGTGCTTACTACTTTTCCGTGCAACCCTGCATTGTTTATTTAAGCACATGATATGGCATCACTCTGTGGCCGCTACTTGTCAATACAGAAAAAAAGCGAATTTCAGTGCAAAGTAAAAATAAGAAAAAAAGGTTGTAATTTTTCTGCAACGAGAACACACCAGATTTTTTTCTTCACAAAAATCGCTAAATTTAACTAATAAATTAACAAAACTTTCAAAAAGTAAGTTAGAAATCGATAGATTATGAAATAAACTTTAGTTTTAAGTGAAAATAACTAATAACTGTATTATAATTTGCAGCTAAAAATAAACGTGAACAAAAATGAGTGTAGAAGAGGAAGTTTTTAAAATACAAAAGAAAATGAGCAAAATCACAACAAATGATGGCACGGTATGTATTAATTTGGAATCTAAGATGATAGAAATGTTAGGGAAATAAAAGTAAAATGCATTGAAAGGTGTTTGTGGACTAAAAATGCAATTAGCAGAGTTCAACAATGTGTGTGAGTCTCATGCGCGCCTTTTATTATTTTTGCTGTTGTTGTTGTGCTGTTGCTAAAACCTAGTACAGCCAGCCAGCAGCCGGTGTTTCTTAAAATTTGTGTGTTCGAACAATAATGACTTATGCTGTTTTAGGTAGAGGGTTTGTAACCAGACTAAATTTCAAATTGTTATAAAGAACATTTGTTTTAATTTATAAATTTAAATGAGATATTAACTGTTTTATATTCCTAGGGTCAAGAACAAGCCTTGGACCTACTAAAGGCTTTACAGTCGCTCAATATTAATTTGGAAATTTTGACAAAAACCCGCATTGGCATGACCGTCAATGAGTTACGCAAAAGCAGCAAAGACGAAGAGGTTATAGCCTTGGCTAAGACTTTAATCAAAAACTGGAAACGTTTCTTAGCTGCACCCGGTTCGACGGCGGGCAAAGATTCTAGCAAATCCGGCAGTGACAGCAAATCCTCCTCGGCTAGCAAGTCTAGTTCCTCATCCAGCAAAGATAAAGAGAAATCCTCTTCCAACAACTCCTCCTCCTCTAAAGACAAAGATAAAAAAGATGAGAAAAAATCTTCCTCCTCCTCCTCATCGTCGTCAACCAAAGATGAACGTCGGCCGACACAAACCTCTTTTCCCGCTTCGTCGGGCATGACGGATGCGGTGCGTTTGAAATGCCGTGAAATGCTTTGCAATGCCCTGAAAGTGGGTGAAGCCATGGAGGGTTGGCCGGAACCGGAAGAAATGGCCATAGAGCTGGAGGAAGCCATTTATGCTGAATTCAGAAATACCGATATGAAATACAAAAATCGCATACGCTCTCGGGTGGCCAATTTGAAAGATCCCAAAAATCGCACCTTGCGTGGCAATTACATGTGTGGTGCCATTACTGCTCAGCAATTGGCTAAAATGACGCCCGAAGAAATGGCCAGTGATGAAATGAAAAAGCTAAGAGAGAAATTTGTCAAAGAAGCTATTAATGATGCCCAATTGGCCACAGTACAGGGCACCAAAAACGGATCTGCTTAAGTGTGGCAAATGTAAGAAACGTAATTGTACCTATAATCAACTGCAAACACGTTCATCTGATGAACCTATGACCACTTTTGTCATGTGTAATGAATGCGGTAATCGCTGGAAGTTCTGCTGAAATAATACTTACCGCTTAAGCAGCCTGTACCAACCACCACAACAACACCAACACCTCCAACATAAACACTACCAACCCTTAAACCTTATAATTAATTTATGTTCTTAACTGAAAAACCAATTTTTAAAATAATGGTAGCAATTCTATTTTAAATTTTCTTTGAATTTTATTATTATTTTTTTGTTTTTTTATCGTTTTTCTTTAATTTTTAATATATAATTGCCCCCCTACATTTAATTTGTAGCCTTTTTTCAAAAAAGTTAATTTTATTACAATAGTAAAAAATCATATTGCAAGTAATTTGTTTCATAAACTTTTAATTATCATTACCTTAGTCGTTATAGTTAGTCTTGTGACATATCCTTCTGGATATGCCTCTTAAAATTATAAATGCAATTACTAATTCACTTTTGTATAGATAATTAGTATTTGCTCTCAAAAAAAAAAAAAAAAAGAGTTATTTTTTAAGTCAAAATATACTCTTGTTAATTGGACATACATATAGTATATATATACAAACAAATAAATAAAATATGATGCTAATTACCTACTTACCGAATTAAGTACTTAATTAATAACACCACAAGTAATACATACACAAAATCATATAATGTTTCAATAAATCAGGTTTTGAAAAAGTTGAAAATTTTAAAATAAAAATTAAATTTTAAGAAAATGTTTTTTACAATTTTAAACTATTTAAAATATATAAATATTCCGGCAACTACAACAAAAAGACCGCTGAGGATCTTCTGATATAAAATTACAGAATTAGAAGAGGACTAGAACTAGAACACAAGTAGAACAGGAAAGAAATGAAAGGAAAGAACTAGAATAGTACCAGCAAATTACTAGAATTGAAATTGAACAGAACTAAAACTGAGCTGAAACTGGACTGGAGCAGAATTGAACTAGAACAAAACTAACACAGATCTACAATAGACGTAGAAGAGAACTAGAACAGAACTAGCAGAGAACTAAAATAGAACTAGAATAGATCTAGAACAAAACTAGAACAAGAAGAAGAAGAATAGAAGTAAAACAGAACTAGAATTAAACTAGAACAGAACAAGCACAGAACCTGAAGAGAACTAGAATAGAACTAGAACTGAACTAAAACAGACCTAAAACAGGACTAGACAGAACTAAAGCAGAATTAGAACAGAACCTGGCAGAATTTGAACAGAACTAGCAGATAACTTGAACACAATTAGAACGGAACTAGAACTAAACTGGAACTGTACTAGAACTGAAGTAGAACTGAACTAGAACTAAAGTGAAACTGAACTGAAAATAAACTAGAACTGAATTAGAATTGAACTAGAACTGAAGAAGAACTGAACTAGAACAACTACAACTCCTGGAACTGAACAAGAAGTGAACTAGAACTGAACTCGAACTGAACTAGAACTGAACTAGAACTGAACTAGAAGTGAAATAGAACTGAACTAGAACTGAACTGGAACTGAACCAGAACTGAAGTAGAACTGAACTAGAACTGAACCAGAACTGAAGTAGAACTGAACTGAACAAGAATAACTGAATAAGAACTGACATAGAATTGAACTACAACTGAACTAAGTTCCCAGGACAATTGGATCCCCGCTCCGGAACGATCCGATTCTCAATCGGCCAAAGATTGTCAACTCAGCAACAACTGTATCAACCGGAAGTTTTTTTCCCCAGGGAAGAACATCCAGTTACGCCAATCTGTTACAACAACGACAACAACTGAACAAGAATTAAACTGGCACTGAACTAAAACTGAGTTACGACTAGAACTGAGCTAGAACTGAACTAGAACTAAACTAGAACTGAACTAGAGCTAAACTAGAACCGAATTAGAACTGAACTAGAAATGAACTAGAACTGTACTGGAACTGAACTAGAAATGAACTAGAACAGTACTAGAACTGAATTAAATCTGAACTAGAACTGAATTAGAAGTGACATAGAATTGAACTAGAACTTAACTAGAACTGAACTAGAACTTAACTAGAACTGAACTAGAACAGAACTAGAACAGAACTAGAACAGAACTAGAACTGAACTAGAACTGAACTAGAACTAAACCAGAACTGAACTTGAACTGCATTAGAACTGAACTAAAATAGATCTGAACTGAAGAATTAGAACTGAACTAGAACTAAACTAGACTAGAACTAGTACTGAACTAGAACTAAACTAGAAGGGAACTAGAACTGAACTAGAACTAAACTAGAAGAGAACTAGAACTGAATTAAATCTGAACTAGAACTGAATTCGAACTAAACTGAAGTAGAACACAATTAATGCAGAACTAGAACAGAATTAGAAGTGACCTAGAACTGAACTAGAACTTAACTAGAAATTAACTAGAACTGAACATAACTGAACTAGAACTAGAGCTGAACTGGATTGGAACTGAACTAGAACTGAACTAGAACAGAACTAAACTAGAACAGAACTAAACTAGAACAGAACTAGAACTGAACTAGAACAGAACTAGAACTAAACTAGAACTGAACTAGAACTGAACTAGAACTGAACTAGAACAGAACCAGAACTGAACTGGAACTGAACTAGAACAGAACTAGAACTGAACTAGAACTGAACTAGAACTGATCTAAAACTGAACTAGAACAGAACTAGAACTGAATTAAAACTGAATTAGAACAGAACTGAACTGGAACTGAACTAGAACAGAACTAGAACTGAACTTAAGTGAAGTGAACTAGAACTGAACTAAAACCGTACTAGAACAGAAAAGAACAAAACTAGAATAGAACTAGAACTGAAATAGGAATGAACTAGAACTGAACTAGAACAGAACT